CCAGCCCTCTCATATTCCGTGGGGCCCTCTCAAATTCCACAACCCTATGGTCTAGCCCTCGGTTGGAGACGGTTTTCGGGTTATTTTCGGCCCTCTTTTCCTCTGGACCCTTCAGTTGGAGATGGCCTAAGCCAACCTCAATTTGCCTGACAGAACCCACCTCGTTTTGCATGCTAGAACCATGATGCCTTTTCTGTGAGCGGCGCCCTCCTCACTTTCCGTGCCTATGTTGGCCTCGTTTTGCATGTGCGGAGTATGCCTCGTTATGTTGGCATGGAATACGCCTCGTTTTGTGTTGAGATTCTGCTGATAAGGGAATTCAACATGCATATTTAATATGTAATTTCTCCCTCCAAAATATTGAGAAATCCATTCAAGGGTTGGAACATTCTCATGCTGGAATGGGGAATGTGGGAAAGCTGAAGGATCCATTGGTTAAGATCTGGCTCGGATGCTACTAGTAGCTAAGCATTCTAGTATTTTTCTCTCAAAAAACAAAAACGGAAACAAGAAAGTTCATGGCCGTTGTCCGAGCACTGTCCAGTTCCAACCTGAGAGTCATCTACGTCTACTTGTCCAAGAGTACTGAGTCGAGAAAGGGCTTGAACTGGTAGCTTTTCTTCAACGGTGATAAGCATTGTTAAAGGCTCATGTGCTGAAGGATTTATAAAAGTACATTTGTTCACAAGACAATATTCTAAATTGCTGAACTACTACAAGTGAAATTGAGTTATGGATTGCTCTGATCGTTGGGGTCTTCCTCATTACGTCATGAGTTCAAAAACTCTTCTGTCCAGAGTGTAAATTAGTATAGAATAACACTTATACTCAAGAACTGCGAGTGGATTTGAACTTGAGCACAACAGGGCAGATACGCTTCCTAGCCAATTAGCTAACCACATCAAGGAATTACAATGAAAACAGCATTCCAAAGTACAGCAAGCACAAATTACGGAATGTGATACCGAATTTACTAATCCATCTAAGCCATCACAAATTCACTTACAATCTCATTATTTCAACAAATGAAAGTGTGCCGAACCGCATTAAACGTTTTCTCAATAGAAACAGAGAACAAATTTAAAGGCTCAAAACCAGTCCTAGAGTAAGCTAGCATTTACAACAGGATACAAGACATTCATGGCAAACAAGCATATCGACATGAAAACACAAGCAATAGAAATCCCTATAATTTATCCTCGTCAATATAAACTCCTGAATAATTTCTTCCCACTCAACTCAATCGTATAAAATATTCCAGCATCCACCTGAAATTCCAAAGAAAACAAATCATTTTGCATCGTGCATGTGCATCAATGTCAAAAAAATAAAAAATTAGAAATGCCTGAAACAATGAGAAAATCTGACCAAAAAAAAAAATAATGAGATTTTATTTTAACAAACATTATTTATGTTAAAAATAATGAGCTAGCAATAATGTGGTTTAAATTCATTTTTTACGAGAATCGAACTTAACTCTCACTTAACTGAACACTTATTGTCAATTAAAACGTATAAAATTATTATTTTAACTATCTAATCAAAACTAAACACAGATAAAAAATATGGTCGGTACTTTAATCAAAAGAAATGATAACTGTAACTACCTGATTGGCTCAAGTCTCCTCCTCAGATGTTGATTGATATTTTCCCCAATGAAGTATGCAAACCCAAATAAAGCGATAATGGCCATTGTAGTCACCCAATTTTTGAAAATTTAACAATGCACTTACTATTTTTTTTATTTTTTTTAACAAGCGATATTATTTATACTAAAGGAAGAGTGTTGGGTTTAATCTCACAATAAGCTAGCAATAATGTGGTTCAAATTCGCTTTTAGCGAGAATCAAACTTAAGACATCTCACTTACAAGTAGAGAGAAATATCACTAACCGTAATACTAAGTGACCATTTAACAATGCACTTTGTTATCAATTAATTTTAAAAAAAAAAAAGTTATCAATAAATTACCTAAATGAATTAAGTTTTCATATTTTACCTTTCCAACGATGTCATCATGAATGATAAATTGAATGAAACCTTTTAAATTTGGCCCAAGCATGGCACAACACGAAATTCGTAGAGCTCATCATAAACGGATTGGGTCAGCCTGACTCGTTGTACACTTTTAAGAGTAACCTATTTATACTAGAGTACAGTAAGCCTAGAAACCCTTAATGGTCACTATTCTCAAATAAAGTGTATAAAGCTGAACTGTTTTTATTCATTGAGGTGGATGAGAGCACATATTTTGTAAACTAAGTGAAGGAGAGAAATGAGATTCTGCTGATTTTTGTTCATACATAATGCTTCTCCTGTACATACATATTTAGTATGTAATTTCAACCACAAATGTTTTTGTAAGCTGAATGTATATTTAGTAGAATATTTAAACCGAAATCTAAGAAAACAAGTGAAAATATAGTAGTGACCTCAGAACATTGTCAAATGGGGTTATACCCTCAAGAATCTCAACATAAAGTTTTACTTTAATTTTCAAAACTTCATAGTGAGGCGAAGGTGAAAATAAATAGTGAGATCCAACATTTTTTGGCAAAAATGCAAATTTTTATTTTTACGAAATATTTTCTGTGAGCATTGAGGAAAACTTTATAAGGCATTTGGAAGTGGTTTTACGGTTTATTGCACAATAAATGTACATTTAGTATAATATTTAAGCCGAAAACTAGGAAAATAAGTGAAAAATATAATAGTGAGCGTCAAAACATTTTTAAAATGGGGTTCCATACTCAAGAATATCTACGGAAAGTCCTTCTTTAATTTCAAAACTTCATGGTGAGGCGAAGGTGAAAATAAGTATGTTAAACGATGATATATGTACGAGCTTGCAAAACCGACTAAAAATTGTGAGTTAACACCCACGTTTTTTTGTCAAAAAAAAAAGCAAATTTTTTATTTTCGGGGAATATTTTTCTTGAGCATTGAGGACAACTTTATAAGACATTTGGAAGCGGATTTACGATTTATTGAGCAAAAAATGTAAATTTAGTGAATATTTAAGCTAAAAACTAAAAAAATTAATTGAAAAGTATAGTAGTAAGGCCCAAAACATTGTCAAATGGAGTTCTACCCTCAAGAATCTCAATAGAAAGTTTTACTTAATTTTCAAAACTGCACGATAAGGCGAATATGAAAATAAATAAATTGAACGATAATTTAATTAAGTACCACTGAGTGAGGATTGGTAGCGTGGTACCGATCTTTCCCTATTCCATTTTATTTATTTATTCTTCTTTCTTGTTTTTTCCCTTGAGTTTTTTCTTCATACTTTACCTTATTTGAGTAACCACTATTAAATTAAAATATCTTATAATTTAGGTTTTAAATTGATGATTACAAGTCTTTAAATATGAACTATAATAGATTTTGCATGGAAAAATATATATAGAAGAACATGAATATTATATTTTCTTATTATGGTAAGAGAAATAAAAGAAAAATTAGCAACAAAACAAAACTATAAAAAAAATAAAAAATTGAAAAGAAATGATCGGGACAAAGATAGCGATTTATGGCCTATTACGTCGCTACCTTAATAGCAACATTTTACCTTTAAGTCGGTACAAAACCACCGATCGTATCATTTTCTGTTTTATTTATTTATTTTCTGCTTTTTGCCTTTTCTCTGAATTTTTTCTCCTACATTACTTCTTTTAGATTCAAGATTATATCCTCATTTTCCATGTGTTGGCCCGCCTCATTTTGTGTACCTTGTTTTTCACACGTCGGCTACCTTCGTTTTGCATGCCGTATTTTCCATTCGCCAAGGCCATCTCTGACCGAGGGCTGGCCAGAAGGCTCGTTTTAGCCCTCTGGCCCTCCAAGATATTAATATTTTAATGAACAGTACATGCCCATATTTGCCTCTGTCTCCAACTCAAATGTAACGGCTAACTAACATCAGCTAGCCGTTGCATTTGAATTTTTTTCTTAAGCATTATAATCGGCAGAGAATACATTTAAATTAAATAATATAAACGTATTCATGTCGGTTATAACCAACAGGAAAGATGATTTTTCTAGCCAACCCTCCAACCCTCTCTGATTTCGTGGGGCCCTCTCAGATTCCACAGCCCTATGGCCTAGCCCTCAGTTGGAGACGGTTTTCGGGATATTTCGGCCCTCTGGCGCTCTGGACCCTTCGGTTGGAGATGGCCTAAGCCAACCTCAATTTGCATGATCGAACCCACCTCGTTTTGCATGCTAGAACCATGACGCCTTTTCTGTGAGTGGCGCCCTCCTCACTTTCCGTGCCTATGTTGGCCTCGTTCTGCATGCGCGGAGTATGCCTCGTTATGCGGGCATGGAATACGCCTTGTTTTGTGTTGAGATTCTGCTAATAAGGGAATTCAACATGCATATTTTATATGTAATTTCTCCCTCCAAAATATTGAGAAATCCATTCAAGGGTTGGGACATTCTAATGCTGGAATAGGGAATACGGGAAAGCTGAAGGATCCATTGGTTAAGATCTGGCTCGGATGCTACTAGTGGCTAAGCATTCTTGTAATTTTCTCTCAAAAAACAAAAACGGAAACAAGAAAGTTCATGGCCGTTGTCCAAGCACTATCCAGTTCCAACCTGAGAGTCATCTACGTCTACTTGTCCAAGAGTACTGAGTCGAGAAAGGGCTTGAACTGGTTGCTTCTCTTCGATGGAGATAAGCATTGTTAAAGGCTCGTGTGCTGAGGGATTTATAAAAGTACATTTGTTCACAAGACAATATTCTAAATTGCTGAACTACTACAAGTGAATTTGAGTTATGGATTGCTCTGATCGTTGGGGTCTTCCTCATTACGTCATGAGTTCAAAAACTCTCCTGTCCAGAGTGTAAATTAGTATAGAATAACGCTTATACTCAAGGACTGCGAGTGGATTTGAACTCGAGCGCAACAGGGCAGATACGCTTCCTAGCCAATTAGCTAACCACATCGAGGAATTACAATGAAAACAGCATTCCAAAGTACAGCAAGCACAAATTACGGAATGTGATGCCGAATTCACTAATCCATCTAAGCCATCACAAATTCACTTACAATCTCATTATTTCAACAAATGAAAGTGTGCCGAACCGCAGTAAACGTTTTCTCAATAGAAACAGAAAGAACAAATTTAAAGGCTCAAAACCAGTTCTAGAGTAACCTAGCATTTACAACAGGATACAAGACATTCATGGCAAACAAGCATATCGACATGAAAACACAAGCAATAGAAATCCCTATAATTTATCCGCGTCAATATAAACTCCTGAATAATTTCTTCCCACTCAACTCAATCGTATAAAATATTCCAGCATCCACCTGAAATTCCTCTCCTCACAGCAGCAATCCCGTGTTTCTAGCACCTAATCTCGTATGAACCAGCTTTCGTGATATAGCGAACCCACTCAACAGTGTTGTATCCACTCTTTTCCCATACCTGCAGAAAATCAATGAATAAACTATACATTTTCTAGCTAAGGCATACCAGTGTTGGCGGGGCAAAGACATTACCTTGAGAAAACGCACACGTAAACCAGACGCTGTAAACATTGGAACCTGTATATGTAATAACCCAAATGAGTCGCCTCTAAGTAGGTGGACGAAAAATCATATTGAATGCGATAAAACCTAAACATACAGGAAACGGACATTTTAAACTATAAGCCAGGAAATAGCTCGCTATTCTATCTGTAACCACCTACTGAGGTGCTTAATAATTGATTAAAATAACTTCAAAAGTAATTTATGATTAATCATTTGATATGTGCTTCAGATGGACATAGACGTGGAACAGAACTTCAAAGTTACATGAAAGGTATTAGTTCGGTAACACATCAACCTATTTAGGGCTTGGCAACATTTAATTCGTTTTTTTATTCTTCTATAATAAAGCACCGCCTACGGAGGTGGAGATGAGCTCCTGGGATTAAAAACAAATGAAATGTGTGCCCAATTGTCACAATACTCCTGGAATTAGTAATGACGATTAGTTACGCACCTGGAACTCCATCTGAATTGGTGGTCTTGTCCAAGATTTCTTTTCTGTCATCGTGGAAATCAGCTCAACTTCTGCACTCAAAGTTGGCTCTGTTTGTCCTGGAAATTTCCTTATCCTACAAAGTGCAAGAAAGTTAATACAATATAGTGGAAGAAAGAACAATAATGTGCAACACGCAGAGACACATTTCAGTTAGCCTCCTATAGGCTATAAGCTCCATATATGCCCGACAAAATTTGAACACTTTGAACCTAAAAAGGTAGAATCTTTCCCAACTCCAAATCTAACTCATCTTTTTACCACCTACGACCATGTCCAAGGGCTACTACATTGAATCATATTGCAGAATTATTTTTAATGAAAAATTTAATTCAAATCTTAAAGGATTATAATTCAACAAATAAACATATAAAGAACTCACTTCCAGACCAAGCAATCAATAGCAGCATTATATTTTGCTCGACCAGATGTCACTTGAAAACTTGTCTTTGCTGTTTGTTTTGGCACAGGAATTTTGATGACAACCCCAAGAGCAAACATTTTTGCACCAAAAACGCTCTTGACCTGCAAAGCAAGCACGTACATAAGCTATCTTCCCAGCAAAGAACTTCTAAATGATAGCAGTTTTAAAATGCAAAGTGGCAAACCTTAACATTTACTTCAATGCGAGTTCTGCCGAGTTCTTTAATTGTAGGCAATACTCGGAATGGAAGATTCACACCCTCAGTAATACGATACCTAAGGCACATAAAATCCAACCACACAAGAAGGCCTCATAATACAATGAAATTTGTAGAACACTGATAAGTAACTATGACAATTTAACTGTATCAAAGGAAATTCAACCTATGAAAAATAATTGTAAGAGTAATATTTGGATGTCGTAGTTTAATACTAGCAAATTTGCATGCATTACGCATGTTACTGCAGAAAAGGTAGTGGTAAAGAGTTCAAAAGGTTTAAGTAAAACAATATAACAGCTATTGAGGACTTATTGTTGCTTGATAACTTCATCAACCAACAAAGCTCGTGTCAAAAAAGAAAAAATTAATGAGTGGAGTTATGAGTCGTAAAACCAACTGGGCCATCAAAAACATAGAAGATATAATCAGAACATCAAATGATATGAGAATTGCATAATTGAAACTCTTCGAAATCACAGACAAGGTTAAATAGCAAGCCTCATTATAAAAACAGGTTTTACCATGTTGCGGCATCCTAATAAATCCTAATGAAACACAATGAGCAATGACAAAACACTACCATGAAGTGAGCAGAACTGAGATTAAGAAAAGCTAAATTAAATTCAAAGCATAAAGTAGGACATTAAAGGAAGTATGAGCTTACTTCATCAATTCAAATTCACCATCAGGAGGCACAAAACTAACTGTCTTCTCTGAGTTAAATCTCGTCAAGTTTACACATTGATGGAAAGTAACATCATCAAGCTCGATAGTTTTCCCACTGCAAAAATACTCGAGTCAAAATAGAAACTAAAACGGGATTACATTTTTGTGCGGTCAGAAACCATAACCATCTCAATAAAGGCCAACAAGCAAGGTCTTAAATACAGATATCAACTTTTCTGCATCCAACTATAAAGGCAAATAAAATGACCAAGAAAAGATAAATTCAAAGTTTACGAAACGCTGGAATAAAAATATAAAAATGATTGGTCAAATAAACATAAGAGTTGTAAATCTCAATCTACTAAAGATTTGACAGTAACAAGGCAAGAAGAAACTAAGGAAAGAAAAAGAAAAATGTATTACATCTTAACCACAGTGCACATGCACATTGCAGAAAACTCATTCCATATCAGTCAGAAAGAAAGAAACAAATATGTCTTCAATACCACTAAATGTCTGCTGCAGCTCAATTAAGGTAAGCAATTTGCTTGGAGAGAAATTCCTTAGTAAGGCCCTAAATTCTCTCTTGCAAATAGAAAAGTTTATTTAATCTTTGTAGGCTGGCCACAATTTAGAGAAGAGAGCATGCAAGCTTCACTGTATTGAGGGTTCTCTACTGAAAACTGAGGTGCGCTTTACTTTGTTCTCTTCTATTTATATACTTAATATTTTGTTTTCCAATGATAGGCTAGGGAGTTGAGTTAAGAAATTTCCCATCAGCAAAAGCATGTAACAACATTATTCCATGTGGAAATCTAATAAACTAGTTATATTTGTCTTCAAAAGGAAGAGTAACTACTTAAAAAGTTCACCCGTATCTAAGGAAACAGAAATTTGAAAACAAATATTACGCTAAGAAGTTGGTGGTTGAAGTTGAATACAATCTAAGTACCAGAACAGCATAGTGAGCCACTAAAACATACCTTTTGGTGGGACGGGATTTAAGTTGCGACTCTTTCTCAAGGCCAATTTTATCATTCAAGCCCAACTTCAAATCGGGCATTCCAGAGAGAAAGCACTTCATTAGAACCTTCCCGGTTACATCACAGCGCAGAACACTACCTATAGCCTCCAAAATCAGTTATAAGTGACAAAACAGACTTTCTTTGTGTCAAACACATTCAAAAACACCTGCCTACCTTTGGAAGACATAAGAAGATTTACACTTTCCACAATATCCAAGAAGACCTGCACGAATGAAATATTTGTAATCTAGTAGACTGTTTAATAAAGATGTAAAAGAAAAGTAAGAAAATTCTAAATACCTCATTCTTTTTATAAACAAGGCCCTCTCTACGCCAACCAACAGCACCTGTAACTTGTAGTGTTGCATTAGGGACAGGTTTATCTGTAGGCTGTTGTTTTAGGCACACAATTGAAAAGAAAAATCATCAGAAACTAATATCATGATGTCCACAATTTTTTTTTTTTTTTTTTTTTTTTTTTTGAGAAAGATCATGATACAGATACACACATGAAGAACTAAAAGGTTCCGTATATTATTATTGAGAAAAAGTCACCAAATTCATCACACGTAATAGCCCTACCATATCTTACCTTAGAAGAGAATGGAGAGCGCACTCCTTCCTGAGTGATGTAAAGCTTCAAAATTTCTGGAGAAAGATTCTGTGGGTAACCAAAATCCATAATTTCTGCAATTGAAAAGTGGATATTGACTATTCAGACATGATGAATTCTAAAGATACATACAATTACAAGCAAACACTTAGATAAAAGCTTAAATCATATAAACAACTGGCATAATGAAAACATGCAAGCATTTGAACATCATAATCAACAAGTAATGTGATGAATGCATGTATGGATTCTGACATGGTCAATGAAATTGGTACCAGATCACAATCACAAAAAAACTCAATGTTACTTAGTGCAACTTATTTCAACATCATCATATTCCTTAAAGATGAATTCAATAATCAAGATCACAAATAACTAAAGAGTGCTTTTATCAAGTGGTAGGAGAACAGTTACAAAGAACCACGCTAATCATTAAGGTCGAGAATTTCCCTTCACATTCTTAAGTGTGAAATTCATGATATTCTCCGATAACGATGCCAAGCCCAGAATTGATGGCGTCAAATGAAATAGACATCATCTAATAAAAACAATCCTTTGACAATGCCTTGTATGCACATGCACAGCAATGGTTATGACATGCCATATTAGAAAGTCCCACACATGGTCTTGTGCCCAACAATACTACAACTAACAAACCTAGTCATGTTATAAGAGGATGGTGTGTATAGTTGAATTGTTTTGTATTTACAAAATAGACTTCTAGAATATGCATCTTCGGCGACTAAAGTTCATCTATCAACATAAAAATCCTTCCTTATTTGAAAATTTGTGGCATTCCCCCAATATCTTCTGCTTTTAAACTCTTTGCCATATTTTATGAGGTGAATTCTAAAGAGTGAAACATGTGCAGGATAATGGTTTTTGTATACTATACAATAGCTTCTGTAAATGCATGCAAACAGTTGAGGTGAATTGTTCAATTACATACCATCCAATAGCTCATAAATCAGAACAAAATTATTACGAATTGCATCTTCGTCAAAAGCCCCACCAAAATAAGATTTGAACAGTGCAACAGCCTGCAAGCAGAATAGACCAGAATCATTCACCAAAATCTAAGACTATTATTTGCCGGTTCATATCCCAGAGGGTCAAAAACACATTACACAACCATGTTCCCCAACCTCAGCTCAAAAGACAGGTATTACTTTAAACCTGTCTATGGTGAGTTAAAAAAACTTTATGGGGAGATTATCACATTCCTTGCAAGACCTGTATACTTACCAGTTACAACTTACCACATTAATGAAATATTTTTAGCATAAAAAGAAATTAATAAAAAGGAGACCATTGACATAAGAGAACTCCGTGCCAATTATTAATAGTTCTCCCGAGAATGCACTATCCCACATCTAAAGTCATGTAGCTAACTACAGCACTAATCCAGCCGCCATAAAGAAGGAAAAAACAAAACAGTTGATTCATCCTTTTTCAAGAAACTTTTTTATCAAAGTAATTCCAAATTCAACCAAAAACCAATCAGTACTTTCACACGATTAGATTGAATATATGTTGTGAGGCACGTAGATTTTCTCATTCCCCCATAAGAGAGAAATGAGTTACCATTCTTTGTCATAAAAGAAAGTCTACTCATCTATATAATAAGTCATTGGAATTCTTAGCGTTTTGCAACAGTGTCTTGGTAAGAGTAAAGATTCCTTCAATAAAAAAAACCCTTGAATTACCTATGATGCAAAGAATGGTAAACTACAATACAGAAGAAGCATGAATGAGAGAAAAGGCAAGACTACATATATGCACTCCAGATAAACATCGGAAAAAATAAAAACTTAAGGAAAAAAAATTCCCTTTTAATTGCTTTTGTCCTGTCAAATTTTTTGGGAGTAAAACTTAGAAGTCAAGATATGATGCAAGCTCCTTCAACTTTTTTAGAGAACAGATCAACAAGGGCAAATAAGATCCTTACATCAGAGCATTATATATAAAAGTCTTGAATTCTAAAGGAAAATGAAATCTACATAGACTTTAGATGATAAGATCTCATTACCTCAACAACAAACTTGAATGCACAGGCTACATTGGCATTGCTGCTGACTACAATCACAATGTAAACGTTGCTGATTCTCATGTAAAAGAAAGAGCATCCACCAATCTGCCGCACAGGACATGTTCCGAGTTCTTTTGTTTGCATAATATGTGTGCGGAAAGCATCCACCATATTTCCACTGAAAAAAATGATTAGAGTATTTAGACAACCCCACAAGGTTGATTCTTTAATGAAATTTTACTCAAATAGAGCACCAGCATAGATGCTCCAAACACAAGCAAAGAACTGACAAAGAAAATTTTCCACTCATGACGAGAAGGCCTAACAAGGTAGCATTCCCAGACTAACAATATATTCTAGCACCACCCTATAGAACTTTTTAAGTGAGCTTGGAACCTAGCCCGAACCCTCTCTTTTGCCTTCTCAAAGGCGAATAATTTCAAAATAATACCTTTCTGCATACATAGCCCAGAAGAATACATATACAAGGAAAAACTAAGGAGCCTGCCTGTCTATAACTTAGTACAGGACGTAATGAGTGTATTATGGTATAAAGGAGGTATTAGGTTCATTTTGTAAGACCAAAAAAAAAAAGAAAAGATCTTAAATCCACTGTAGACGTTGACTAATAAGCCCTCACTTCTATCCAGCAGACTATTACATATACATGAAGAACTAGATAATTAAAATGTTAACTAAGCCCTGAGAAAAGGTAACATTATGTCTTTGGCCATTGTTGATGGCTTAATTTCATTGTAACAAATTTACCTAAAGCCATAACACCATCAATCTTCATGAGTTTCTATCAAGCCACACGGTTAACGACTGATGAGGGAATCACATCTGATTAGCTAGTTGGTTAGACAATAGCTTAACAAGACAACGATCAGTGAACTGAGATACAGGCAGCAGCGGGGAATTTTCAGCTAGTTTCATCTAAATCCTACGCTACTTAAACCGAGCAAAACCCACAGCCTATCAATTAACTGGACAGCAATTGTATGATGAATAACAAAACAGAACTATGTATCAATTACCACCTTTGATCTACATTTCAACTCGGTACACTCTCATGAATCACAAAAGTACCATGTCCCATTTAAATTTCAAAACTTTGACCAAAACCCAGAAATCATAAATCACAATACAGAAAACCCATTGACCAAAAACCTTTGTAGATACATAAAAGTAAATTTCAGGCCAAACCCATAACAAAAAATTAAACATACAACCTAAATCTCAACAATTTCACCATCAAATTAACAGTTCCTAAAAGCACAGAGAGAGAGAGAGAAAGATTACCCAACATCGTCACGATAGAGACGGTTGATGAGAACATCACCGCGGAGGTTCAAGAAGTAGATGGCGGAAGCAGCCACCGGCATCTCTGATCCAGTGAATCAAGAACAAATCAGCTGATGGGATTGGGTCCAGCTATCAGATCTGCGAGATTTGGAAATGAACGGCTGAGATTGCCAGACTAGAGCATCTGCAATGGTCTGCTGGTGGGTGGTAACTGTTATCTCACGAGACTGAGTCTCTCGTCGGCAGGCAATGCAAAAGATCAGACTGAAAACAAAGAGAGAGAAGTTGGTCTTTCTTTCCCTTTCTAGTTCTGCAAGGGAAATTTGGAAAAATAGCTTTTCCTGATAAATGAAAATTAGTTCTTATAGAAGCCTTAAGTAACCCACCAATACGTATGTTTATTTTATTGGCTAACCACATATTATTACTGTTAGGATTCTAACAGGATTACTAGTAAATAAGATGCTTATGATTGTGCCAGATGGCATCATCTGAGCGATTGAGCTTATAATACTTGTAATAAGGTTGTTAGTATAGATGTAATACGATAAAAGTAGTTGGGAAAAGTTGTTATATGGTTGGTTTTGTAAGTAATGGAAGGGAGTTATGAAATAGTATTAGAATTCCTTTTGTCATTCTTTCTCTTCGAGTTCTCTCATGGCGTCTCTAAGTTAAGGTTGATCGAGGATCTATCATTGGTATCAAGCCAATCTTGACTCCTCCATCCGTTCTCTGTTGTCGTATGACTCATACATCGACAAAGAAAGCTATGGAATCGCAAAATCAACTTGCTACGATCAACATCACTCTCACCACTCTACTCCAAAGGTTCGATGCCATGGAAGAGCATCAAGGTTCATCAGATGCTCGAATCGAAAAGCTTCATCGTGATTTTCTGGAAAAGGGTGCAATGGGTTGTCCGGGAGATTCATAGGAGGCAACTCAATTTGATCCCAATTTGCGTGATGATTCAAGAACCTAGCATATCAACCGCCATGAATTTGGGTTTCAACCAAGACCCCTTCTGGTTAAACTTAATTTTCCTTGCTTCCAGGAAGGGGATGATCCTTTGGGTGGATTTATAAGGCGGAGCATTATTTCGATTACTTTGATATTCTGGCCGACAAAAAAGTTTGTATGGCTTCCTTTCATATGGAGGGTGAAGCGCTTCAATGGTTTCAGTGGATTAATTACATTAGGAAATATCCTAAATGGGAAGATTTTACAAAGATTTTCTACAGGGAATTTGGTTCATCTGACCTTATGGATTGCACTGAAAATTTGGTGAAACTTCAACAATCTGGGTTGCTAAGGGATTACATTATGGAATTCCAGCGTTTAGCAAATCGAACCGTCAAAATGACCCTCGGCCTTTTGAAAAGTTGTTTTATTGGTGGATTGAAACCAGAAATTCACCATGATGTCAAGATTCTGAAAACATTCGATGTTCATGAAACCATTGCATATTCTCAACAGGTTGATGCCAAATTGGCAGAATTAAAGGTCTGATCTTTTCCAAGAAACTCTTCATCTGCATCCCAGTTGTCGTTATCTGATATCACAACAAGCCAAAGATTGAGCCTCCTTCAAGAAATGAATGTTTTAGGCACTTAACAGCAGCTGAAATTGAATTTCGAAGGAAGAACAGGTTGTGTTCTAACTGTGATGAAATTTTTTCCAAAGAGCATGTGTGTGCAGGTCCAAAACGTCAAGTACTGCTCATGGATGTGTACGAAAATGGAGACCTTATTGAGCATCATTCTGATGATAATAAAGAGCCTGAGGTAACTGCTTGTGCAATTTATGGAATGCCTACTCCAAAATCCATCAAAACAATGAAAGTCAGTGGGTTAGTACTTAATTGTCTTGCTATTTTTTTGATAGATTCAGGGAGCTCACATTATTTCATCGATATCTCACTGATCAAACAACTAAAAGGTCATTTAGATACCACACACCCATTCACTGTGAAGATTGCAAATGGGGGATCCCTCACTAGTCCTGGATATTTAGCTCAGGTTTTTATTCGCCTACAGAATTATGCAATTGTGCTTGATTTCTATACTCTTCCTTTGGGTGGTTGTGATATTGTTTTGGGCATACAATGGTTAAGAACATTGAGACCAGTATTATGGGACTTTGACAAGATGATTATGCAGTTTGTAGTTGGCAACACCACTTTTTCCATATCAAGTCCTCAATCCCACGAACCTCAATCCATTTCTTCCTTACAAATGGATAGGTTGCTCAACTATGAACATTGCTTATGGGCTGCTTTATTTGTTTTGCAAGTTAGTGCAGACAGCATAACCCCACCTGCTCATTCTCAGTTGGATTCTTCCCAAGATAATGATTTGCAAGTTCTGTTAGCAAAGTATCAACCTATTTTCCAAAGCCCATATGGATTACCTTCATCTAGGTCCCATGATCACAGAATACCATTGTTAGAAGGTTGCAAACCGCCTAGTGCTCGCCCTTATATATATGGTCCCCTTCAAAAAACAGAAATTGAGAAATATGTCAATGAGCTACTGGAATCAAGTTTCATCAGGCCAAGCCATAGTCATTTCTCCTTTCCAGTAAGATTAGTGAAGAAAAAGGAAGGTACTTGGAGGATGTGCATGGACTATAAGGCACTTAATCTCCTCACAATCAAAGATAAGCACCCTATCCCATTGATTGATGAATTGTTAGATGACCTTTTTGGTGCAAAATATTTCTCAAAATTGGATCTCAAGTCCAGGTATCATCAAATTCGGATGCACCCCAATGACATTGCAAAAACTGCCTTTAGAACTCATGAGGGACATTATGAGTTCCTAGTTATGACGTCTGGCTTAACAAATGCCCCTGCATCTTTCCAAAGCCTTATGAATGAGATATTTAGGCCTTATTTGAGGAAATTCATCTTAGTTTTCTTTGATGATATTTTGACATATAGTGCTTCCTGGGAGTTGCATCTGCAACATTTAAACATTGCTCTCAGTTTACTCCAAAGTCATCACTTGTTTGTGAAATTATCTAAGTGTGCTTTTGGCAAACAACAGATCGAATACTTAGGCCATATTGTTTCTCATACTGGAGTAGCTGCTGATCCTTCCAAACTGAAAGCCATTACAGATTGGCCTTTTCCTACTTCTGTGAAAGCTTTAAGAGGTTTTTTAGGCTTAACTGGTTATTATAGGAAGTTCATTCCTCAATTTGGAAGAATTAGTGAACCTTTGACTCAACTCACTAAGAAGTATGGGTTTAAATGGAGTTCTGCAGCCACTGATGCATTTCAGGAACTAAAAAATGCAATGTTGTCTCCTCAAATTTTGGCATTACCAGATTTTTCAAAACCATTTGTTATTGAAATTGATGCTTCTGGCACTAGGATAAGGCCGTTTTGCAACAAGAAGGTCGACCTATTGCCTTTACCAGTCAAGCTCTAAGACCAAAGAATTAAGCACTATCTGCATATGAAGGGGAAATGTTAGCTGTGATTCATGCAGTTAAAAAGTGGCAGTCCTGTTTACTAAGAAACCACTTCATTATAAAGACAGATCATCATAGCCTCAAATATTTTATCCAAAATCGAGCTAATTCTCATTTCCAGCAAAAAGGGATTTCCAAGTTACTTGGATTTGACTATGAAATCCAGTATAGAAAAGGCAGTGACAATAATGCAACTGATGCATTATATAGAGTGTTCAATTCTCAGGTTAATTCAGCTATTGGTCCCAATACTAAACTTGTCATGGCTTCAAGCATGGTTGTGGATCCGGATCACAGTAATAATTCTCCAATTACATTGGCATGCACAGACTTTGACAGTGAATTATTTGCCTTATCTTACCCTTATATGTCCTGGCTCGATGATCTGCGACGACATGTCGAAAAAGATGATTGGATTTTGAAGAAGTCTCAAGCAGTTTTACACACAACCTTAGATTCAATTCCATTAAATTTGCTCAAATATCAGTTTGATAATGGATTTTTGAAGTATAAAAATAGGATTGTTATTAGTCCTACAAGTCCGTGGAGAACAAAGGTATTTGAAGAACACCATTGTACACCATCAGTAGGCCATGAAGGTTTTCTCAAGACCTATAAAAGGATATCTAGATCTTTTTATTGGGAGGTTATGAAGAACAATATCAAAGAGATGATTGTTGGATGTGATATTTGCCAAAAGAATTAAGTATGTGACACTTGCACCTGCTAGACTTATTAATCCATTACTAATCCTTCAAAGAATTTGGTCTGATATAGCTATGGATTTTATCACTGGACTTCATCCATGCAAGGGTAAATCAGTTATATTTGTCGTTGTTGACAGATTCTCAAAAGCTGCACATTTTTTACCCTTGTCTCATCCATATACAGCACATTTAGTGCCCCAAGTCTTTATTGATCAGGTGTTTAAATTACATGGAATGCCTACTTCCAATGTATTTGATAGGGACCCAATCTTCATCAGCTCATTTTGAGAGGAGTTTTTTAAACTTCAAGGGTCCAAGCTCTGTCTCAACTCAGGATTCCATCCTCAAATTGATGGACAAATTGAAGTTCTAAATAGATGTCTGGAAACATATTTGAGGTGTTTTTGTAGCTTGCAACCTAAGCAATGGTTGACATGGCTTCCTTGAGCAGAATGGAGCTACAACACCTCTTATCAATCTGCAAACAAAATGACACCTTATGAAATGGTGTATGGACAATCTCCACCACAGGTTCCACTTTATGAACTTGGTACAAAAAAAATTGATATGGTGGATCAGTGTTTGAAGGACATGACTAGAATTTTATCATTGTTAAAGACCAACTTAGCAGCTGCTGTAGGAAAGGATGACAACTTAAGCAAACAAACATAGAATTGAGAGATCATTTGAAATTGGTGATTTTGCTTACCTCAGGTTAGTTCCTTATCAGCAAAAGTCGCTAGCTTTGCACCCTTTCCATAAACTTCATCCTCGATTCTATGGTCCTTTTGAGGTTATTACTCGAGTTGGGCATGTGGTGTATAAATTGAAGCTACCAAGTCATTCCAAGGTCCATCCAATTGTTCATGTTTCATGTCTCAAAAAGAAATTGGGAAATGTAGTCACTACTACTATTCCATTACCATCAGTTCAAGACGTTGGCTTAATGCAAGATGAGCCAGAACCCGAAGCTATTTTGGACCGCAGTGTGATTACAACATGAGTGACTTTAATCACAGAAGTGTTGGTGCATTGGAAAAATCAACATGTTGCAGATGCATCTTGGGAAAACTTTGGATATTCTTCAGTCGAAGATTCATGACTTTCAGCCTTGATGACAAGGCTAATTTCAAAGGGGATAGTAATGTCAGGATTCTAATGGGATTA